GGGACGGAGGGTGGCGTGTGGAACCAGAGGAGGGGGGGGGCTTCGGTCTCTCGCGCTCCGTGTTAGGGGGGTTTGTGAAGGACAACGAGCTGTCGCTGCGCTCTCGCGCTGGGCTTGCGGATGTCATCTGTCAGGCGCGGGGAAGAGCGAGACGGAGCTCTGTGGCACAATGGAGGTTCGTGAGCGGAGAGGCCGAGCGGTGCTGCTCTGTTAGTAGTCAAAACATGCGCTGGCAGAGACACGAGGGCACGAACACCACTGGCCGAGAGCTGCTCTAATTAATCGTAGCAGCGATAATTGCACTTTTGTGATATCCCACACGATGCTCCGTTCTGTTGTGCTGAACCGCTCAAACACGTGTGGGTACTGTGAGACTGAGGGCTTGCTTGCTTACTGCTATCGACTTTCTCCTATCGACTGCGATGTTTTAGCGTATAGATTTTTCTATTTAAAAAATCCATATTGACAATAATCTTGCGTGTAACCCGTGCGCGCGGATTGTGGCTTCTGTAATTGACAGGAGGTAATGTATCGCGAGGAGCGGGGGGAGGCTGGGAGAGACAGAGAGCGCGCGAGAGGGGCTGAAACCACGGCAACCGCAGATCCCTGGCACGAGGCGCTGGGCTCGTTCACGGTAGTGGACACACACCTCTCTCTGGACAGCTCACAGTGCTGGACAGACAGCTCTCTGGACAGCTCACGGTGCTGGACAGACAGCTCTCTCTGGACCGTTCACAGTGCTGGACAGACAGCTCTCTCTGGACAGTTCACAGTGCTGGACAGACAGCTCTCTCTGGACAGTTCACAGTGCTGGACAGACAGCTCTCTATGAACAGCTCACAGTGCTGGACAGACAGTTTTCTCTGAACAGCTCACAGTGCTGGACAGACAGTTTTCTCTGGACAGCTCACAGTGCTGGACAGACATCTCTCTGGTCAGTTCACAGTGCAGGACAGACAGCTCTTACTGCACAGCTCACAGTGCTGAACTGATAGCCTTTCTGGACGGCTCACAGTGCTGGACACACAACTCTCTGGACAGCTCACAGTGCTGAACAGACAGCTCTCTGGTCAGTTCACAGTCCTAGACATACACCTCTCTCTGGTCAGTTCACAGTCCTGGACACACAACTGTCTCTGGACAGCTCACAGTGCTGAACTGATAGCCTCTCTGGACAGCTCACGGTGCTGGACATACAGCTCTCTGGACAGCTCAGTGCTGGACACACACCTGTCTCTGGACAGCTCACAGTGCTGGACAGACAGCTCTCTG